GGGCGGACGGCCACCGCGAAAGAGACCTCGAGGCTCCGGCCCCGCCACAGGTAAAGCGAGAGGTGCCGAGCTCACGGGCCACGCTGCGGGCTGAGGTTCCAGTCCCAGCCCGCCGCGTGCTGGGGCCTCAGCGTTCAGAGCCAAGTTGCCCAACCCGAGAAGGTTGGTTTTGTTTCCCCTCAGCTGAGGAGGCGAATACAGGACCGGGCTTATCAGCGCGCGTCCCTGAGGCCCGGGAAGGAGGCCCAGCCGGTGGAGTGGCTTCCTGCGGAAGTTCGGTGTGGCGAGCCGAGGCGGCCCAGTTGAAAAGCGCCCAGGGAGTGCCCGGCGCGACCCGTTATCCTGAAGCCACTCTCCCCACCGCCGGTCCATTTCCTGAGTTCATTTTTATTAGCGCTAAGAGGTGGCTTTCCGCTGAAAGACAGCGTTGGAAGACTGTTATCACTACACATTGGCAAATGCCGCAGCCGCCCTTGACGACCAGCACACAAATAAGTTAACCTGGGCGGGTACTGCTTTATTTTCATCCCGAGTTGCTGAGCAAGGCTCTGGCTGGGCTAATGTGGAGGTAGGGCGGGAGCGTCCCCGGGAGGGTGGCAGCGGACACTAGACCCCGGCCTGCTGTCGTGAACGAACAATCAGAGGTGTAGCTAGCGGCTGAGGCGGTGATGTCCAGAGGGGAGGGCGCTTGTAGGTTACAGCGGCGTGATACATATTAACTGTAGGCTAACACGTCTCGGTGAAGATGGATGGAAGGCAAAGGTATTGATCTGAGCCTGGAAAGGTTTCAGAGTGAACTTGGGATTTCAAGAGTCTGTTTTGAGATAGGATGACATGCTGGCAGAACTAGAACTCAGAACATTTTAGAACTGATAGGGAGAGACTTTAAGAAGCTCCTTATCTTACCTGCAATCTTTTAAATATGTGTGTGTGTGTATATATATATACATTTATATGTATTTATATATGTATATATATTTACTTATGTATTTATATATGTATGTGTGTGTGTGTATATATAGATATATCTAAGTCGTGATTATTGAACCCCCAGCCATTGTGCCTGACCCCATGGAACTTAGTTTTGTCAAGGTGGCATCACTGAGGTCTTCTGTTTTCCAATTTAGTGTCCTTATAACTTGGCTGTGCAGGGAATGAGTGGTGTAGTTTCAGGAAAAACTTGACAGATTTAGAGGCTCATTTCCTGCCAGAATTTAACAAAAACCACCAACTCCGCAAGGCTGTTTACTAATTTTCTTTCTAAAGTAATTTTGGAATGACAGTGAGACTTTCCCTTTTATATCTCTTTCAAGAGACATTTCTAAATGAGATCTCCAAGAAGTTGGATTCTCAGATATTTGGGCTAATTCAGAGTATAAAACACGTAGACAACTACTGTGCAGAAAATTAGGCAAAAAGTTGAAGGCAACAGTTAGGCAGAATTCATCCGTTCTTGGTTGTGTAATCAATAAGAGTGACTAACATTTGTGAATATTTGCTGTGTTAGATTACATTATTTTATTTATTTATTTAAAGATTTATGCATACAGAACTGGGGTACAGGCCAGAGGTGCAGGGGCCTTGAGAGGGTTGCCAGAGGCAGAGTGGGGAGCAGAACAGGCATATCAACGAAGTAAACTGCTGAGGGAAGCAGCAGGCAGGTCAGGAGAGTCTGCCATGCCCTGTGGATCACCTCCTTAGCTGGGGATCGAACTGGTGTTCAAGCTGCTGCAGCAAGCTTCACAGTGCAGGGCTTTAACCCCTGTGCCACCAGGGAGGGCCTAATTACATGTATTTTATATGGACTATTTAACATAAAATTAGATGCATCAAATTTCCCTGGCTAACTCTAAATATAACTTATGTTGTGTAAATATAAAATTTAGTTTTATTGCTAATAAAGTAGCAACAGACTTTCCTTTAAAAATTGCTATTTCAGACAAAATATACATATTATTCATTGCTGGTCATTTCATTTATTTCTGTCATTTCTTTGACCTTTTCTCTTGAAAGGCTTTCCCCCTCTTTTTTCCTACAGTGAAACAAAATTGGTTTTGTTCAATTCCCTTTTGAGAGACAGTTTTATCTATGAAATAATCTGTTGTTCTGCCTTGAGAATGAAGCAAAAAACAGCCATCTGCACAGCAATAGTATTTTGATGGTTCACTTATGACAAAGTAGATTGTTTTATATTCTGTGATTAAAATGTCCTTGAATAATTTAGTGGTATTGTGATTAGCAATCTGCTTCTTATATGTCCTTCAAGAGGAATTTCAAAAACACTTAATTACATCACCTTATTTTCCTTAAATGATTAAATTAACAGAAATTATTGCATTTAGCTGCATTTTAAGCATTTACAGATGTTTATTTGAAATGTTTTTCTTACATGATGATTTTGCCTTTTGTTTTTAAATAGTAAGGACTAGCTTTATTTTTCTTATTCAGAAGTTCTTGTTTTTTGGTTAGTAATTGACACGGTCTTGGTTTTTTTTGTTTGTATTTTTTGTTGGCTTTTCCTTTGCTTAAGTATTTGATTAGTCATCTAAAATTATTAAACATTTGTATTTTTAAAAATAAATTTCAGTTTACTTTTGTATTGTTTTAAGCATTTAAATAATGTAAGTTTATCTTTTTTTAATTACTATTTTTTTTGTTTGTAGGCTATAAGAAAAATGGCCCTGTCAGCCCAACAGTTACCCAGGTGTTTCAGCTCAATTACATTTAGTACCTTCATTAATGCTGCACAACTCAGAAAACCTTTTCAGAGACTGGGAAAAGCACGGTTGCAAGGCTTTTCTGCTCAGCTTCAGCTGCCCTCTGACAATTGCTTTCTCCAGTGGGGATTTAAGACATACAGGACTTCCTCCTTATGGAATTGTTCCCAGTCTTCCACCTCAAGTAGGCAAGAGAATAATTCTGTTCAGAGGCCTCTTGTTCCTTCTGTGAATGAGCAGGCACAGAAGACACAAACACTACCCACCTTTGATTCTGAACTATCTCTAGAAGGTAATTCTGAACTGAAGGTAACTGCATAGCTTTGGTAGTTTAAACAAGTGACCTGTTTACATCCTGTTAGGCCATTTCAAGTCATACATAGAACTAAGAAAAAGTGAAGGAATATTGTATATTCCTTTCAGGACTTTCACCTTTGGTAAATAGAAGTTTACCAATAAATTTCTTATCTTGGAGGAATGGTAACTGGTCACTTTTAAAATAGTCTTAATTTTTATCTCTTTGAAGATAGACTATCTTTGGACCTTTTAGGTAAAATCTGAAATTATTACAAGGTTTAAAAAAAAAGAAACAAACTAGAGAGGTTGTCTTTGTAGAAGAAGCACTGAATACAGATTAAAGAGTTTACTAACTTCCTTCTTTCTGCACGCTGGCTTCACAGAACTGGATGATTTGCCTCCATTGTCTCCACTGCAGCCCATTTCTGATGAGGAGGCCATTCAAATAATTGCAGACCCTCCACTGCCCCCAATTTCATTTACACTTCGAGACTATGTAGATCATTCTGAGACTCTTCAGAAATTAGTGCATCTAGGTAAGTGAGTAACATGCTGGTACTTCTTGAGTGTACACTGCTTTTTTCTTTTACTTTTGTGTTTAGGATTTATCAAAGTGGCTCATACACATGAACCTACTTTATCCATTCTGACCTTGCATCCCTTTCCCCAGAGGTTATTACTTTTATAATCTTTCTGGTTAATTTTACCCTCTAAAGATATATGTAATTGTTAATAGTACTGTTGCTTGGTTAATCATTTTAAAAATCAATTAATCTTATATAACATTTATCCCTATTTTCTTTAATATTCCCAAAATAGTTAATTAACTTCTTTTTAGATAAATCATTAGCCAGTGATTACATTATGAGTATAAACATCGCTTGCTAATTGTTTCCCGTTATGTACTTTTTATTTTTCTAGAATTAGTAATTGCCTTCTTTTTTATTTGACTCATTTTTTTCATTCCTTGGACCGAATTTTCCCACTCCTTCCACTGGCCTCTCAGGACAGTTTTTTCATACAGTCAGTCCTGTCAGTTGATGCATTAGTTCCATTCCCCCACTACCCTATGACCTTCCTCTTGGAACCCATTATCTTGATTTGAAATTTGAATGGTCTCTCTTTAGGTCTGTTCTATAACTATCTTAGTTTGCTGGCAGGTACGGTGTGCTCGTGGATCTAGTTGATGGCAGCACTACAAACTTTTACTTAGTCCTGTTTTCAATGTAGCACCTTATTGTAACCCTCGGTTTTTTTTTTTTTTTTTTTTTTTTTTTTTTTTTTACCATTGTTACTTGCTCTGGGCACTTCTCTTACTTTTCTTGCTCAGATAATGAGTCTTTCTCCTGGGGGATTGAGAGAGACAGCTAGGGATTATCTCTCAAATTCATTGCCTCTCTCCTACACTCACTGTCTTAGTTTAGGTCTTCATTTTCACAAAGTTAGGAATATTTAACTTGATAGTCTTCTCAGCAGTATTGCCCTGATTATCTCTCTGATTTTAATGTTCTTTCTAAAATGCAAATCGACTATGTCAGTGACCCAATCTTTAAAACTCTTGCTGTGGCATCAGAGATCTTTCTAATCTAGCCTTTGCTTACCTTGATCTAATGTAACAATTTAAGAAGTAATTTCTAATTTATTCTCTAACTCTCTAAATAGTGAACCTTCCCTGGACTCATGCATCACCTCTTGTGTCATTCTTAGCACTGATAACACTATTATAATTGTGTCCTGTGCAAGTGACACAAATATATAGGTAATGGCTTTTGCTCTCAAGAAATTCAAGACTTTTGAAGCAGTTAAACACACATGTAAACTAGCTGAAAGTAAAGATGAAAGGTAAAGTGATTGGTCCCATATGAGAGATAATACAGTGTTCCGTGGGCTCAAAGGAAAGAGAAAGATGATACAAGCTGCCAGTAGGAGAGACAGTCACCTCCTTTTGGAACAGCTTTCCCATTCTTTAGATGGTTACTATGGATGAAACAAGGTAAACATAAAATGCGGCTCCCCCCTTTAAATAATTAACAGTATAATTAGAGCTTTGTAATATATTTCAATCAGTCCTTCATCTGTGTGCTGACACTCTGACAGCATATCTTAAAGCAATTTAACTGGAAGTGCCTGAGAGGAACCACGGTGCCTTATCGGGCAGTATTTTTTGAGCACCTAAGTGTCCTGGTTTTTTGTTTGCTACCTGATCAGTTTTCTGCCTTCTCTGCTTGTTCTGTATCCCAAGAGGCTAGCCTCTGTGCATCAGGCTCCTTTACCAGCTGGCTTCTAGGCAGCTTCAATCAGTGGGAGGCACCTGAAAAAGGAGAAGGGGGGCAGGTGGGAATAGTTTTTCCCCATCCTGCTTTGGTTCTGGGTCATATGACAGGCTTGCTCCCTGACAACAGCTCCTACAGAGCATCCCTTTCTTAATAACTTCCAGTGTCTTCTGCATTTGGGTAATACTTTTTTGTCCCTTGTCTGTTAGTGCTAAGATTGCCCTTGCTGCTGCTTTTACTCTGGTCAGACCACTGGAGAGTGCTTGTGGTCACCTAGAAATTAGAATCATATATTACTCAATTTTTGTATTTCCAGAGCCTACCAGAAATGCCTGCTCATATTTATTGACTTTCTGAGCTAATGAAATCATGGAAGCCAAGTGATTTGTGCTGACAGCAATGTGCTCTCCTGATGAGAGTCTGCTGTCCCATTGCTGTTAAAAAGCAGCTTTTCAGGATTTCTGTTTCAGCACAGCCAGGGTGTGACAGCTCATGCTGTGCTAGACACTTCTGCACATGCAGGCTGTAATGTTTAGTTACAGTCGAAGCCTAAATCCTTTATATTATTTTTAAAGCATTCCTTCCCTTTATCATAGATTTTTGGAACTAGTTTCTATCTTATTTATCCATCCATTCGATTCATGCAATTTAGTTTTCTATTAACTTTAGTTTTAAATTTAAACAAAATTACATTTAGTAGTTAAAAGTGCAAAGATTGGGCCCTCCCTGGTGGCGCAGCAGGTTAAAGCACAGCACTAAGAAGCTAAAGCCACTTCCGCATGAGTTCGATTCCCGCCTGCCCCGAGGTGACCA